GACTGGTAAAACATCCTCAGGAGCTTCCTGCAGATGTTAAAAGACCTCAGCCTCCTGAGGAAGTACAGTCGGCTTTGGCTTTTTTTGTACAGGTGCTGTGTGCTGCATGACCAGTCCAGTTTATTGTCCACCCACAGCCCGAGGTACTTATGATCACATGACTGTAGATACTGTGATTTCTCAGACACGTGTTTATTTCATTGTTTTATCACCTGATGATGTTTTTATCTGAACTAAAATAATAACTCAATGAAATGTTTCTGGTTTATTTATCATCAATAACATGCAGCACGTGTTCTCTCGTGACTCCTTGTAAAAAACCTTCACCTTTTACAGATATGATGATTCCACGCGGTGGGCGGGGCTTGGAGGTAAACTGCGGCGGTTCAGCGACGACAGAGTTTAACGCACAGCTCAGCGTTTGCTCCCGCAGGTCTTTCATCACTGATCACGTTCATAGTTAGAGTGGAGTGTTGAACATCATATTTCATATCAAACATGAAGCCTGAGTCAGTCATGTGACCTGTTGTTGTGATGACAGAGAATTTGAAATATCCCAGTTTCCTTGAGAGTGATTTGTGTTCACACAGTAACAGGATCAGGACGATTACACACTGAGGCTCCGCCCACACCAGCCCGGATAGATCTGAAAACAGCGCTCGGCGTCCACACTGGCGTTTTCAGTCGTTTTCACAGAGTTGTGCGTCCACATTGAAACGGTCCAAAACGCTTACGTTGCAGTCCTGCGCATGTGCAAAGTCAAGTGAGAATTAAAGGATTTGAAGGGAAGCTCTCTGCAGCACCTACAGGCGGATATTAATCTGTAACAGGGCTGTCAAAGCAAACAAAACAACTGCTGTGTAACGCCCTCCGCTATCTTTGTTTATTTGGTCACGTGACTGCATCACATGACTAAAATGCGTCATCGTTTTAGAAAGTCTGCGTTTTCGAGTGTCCACACTGCGACGGGACAGCTCCGAACTAATGAGCCAAGGCCGACATAAATGTGTTTAATCTACTTTATCATAAATGTAACAAAGTTTTTAGAAAGTTAGCACATACATGTAATTTTTCATTTCTTTATGTGTCCATCTATAGAAGGCTGCATGTTATAGTGTAAATCTGCCTGTTCTCTGTCAGAAACCTGCCTGCAGAAAATGAACCTAAAGCATGTAATGCAAGGATGTCATCACTTTAGAGATGGAGAAAGCATAAAGTGACAATTATGAATCACTTACTATGATAAGGAGGTTCTGCAGGTCATTAATCAATGTATAAAGTTAAAATAAAATGTATTTTTAGTGACACAAGATACAAATATGGAAGCAAGATGTATAATTAGAATTATTTATAATAAATATGAATAAATCATTGCAATTTCTTTAACCATAAAGAATAACTAAATCCTTCAGGACAATGTCACATCAATGCACTGAACTCACTATGTTTTCCCTCTAACAGCCTCCACATGTTCTCACTGTAGTTTCCCCTCATGAATGAATTTATGCTGCACTAATCTGAATGTTTGCAGGGAAATC